TCATAGCAGCCTTCTAGTATCTGAAGGGGGCCTACAAGTATGCTGGAGATAGACTCTAATCGGGGATTGTAGTGATAGGACAAGGGGTAATGAGTTCAGTCTTAAACAGGGGAAGCTTAGGTTAGATATAAGGAAGAAATTCTTTACTGTGAGGGCGGTGAGGCACTGGAATGGGTTGCCCAAAGAAGTGGTAAATGCTCCATCCCTGGCAGTGTTCAAGGCCAGGATGGACAGAGACTTTCGTGATATGGTCTAGGGTGAGATGTCCCTGCCCATGGCAGGGGGGTTGGAACAAGCTGATCTTAAGGTCCTTTCCAACCCAGAACATTCTATCATTCTATGATTCTATGGTTAAGAAGGAATAATGTTAATGCATTAACACAGTCACACTCTGTGATTCACCCTGCAGTGAAAATGTGCCCACATGCGCTCTGACAGTCAAATACCATGGTCTGTGAAGCTGCTTGGTTGGAATCTCTTTTCTACTCCTGATTCTTTCTGATTACAGTTTGTTCAATACAGTGACTTTTGAGTTCCTCTCTCTGGAAAGTTTGGATAGCACAGTTGGTTATAAAAGGCTCTTTGTAAACTCTCCCATGTTATTAATGGATATTTTTATGATTAATTGACCCAGAACAAAATAGCACAGAATCTCATTTGACATTTCTTTGTATGACAGTGAAGTGTTGATAACCACTCTCTAAGAATAGTTTTGCAGTTAGCTGAGCGTTCACACTGATATCATTTCATCCAGCCCACATCTACTGTGTTTTATATTTTTTAATCTCAACACGATGGACTTTTTGATGCAACATGTAAGAAAACCATTGAAATTCACTGGCTTTAGGATGCCCACAAAAGTTGAAAATTCAAAGAAAAAATCCTATCCAGCCTGTTACAGGCCAAGATATTATCTCCTAATTCTGGTACTCCTAGAGCAACATCTTGTCAGAGTGAGAGAAGGAAAAGGGGAAAATGCCATGTCTGCCCCATTCTTACACTCTCAGAATCATAGAATGATTCCTCTGCTCCTCTGCTTACAGCCTATTGGGGATTATGTGTAGGTGAAGGTTGACTCTGGTCTCGTGTGAATGCCACATGGGACTGCATTGAAAGTCTCACTAAAAATCAGATTATATCAAAGCCTCCTATGAACCCTCAAGATTAAAGTATTTGTTACCCCATTTTTTCCACTGGCTGTCACTGGAAGTATTTCTTCATCTTCTAACCCCAGTGAGAGTTTCAATGCATATATATTGCATTACCCTTTAGATACCATGGAGGAAACGTGTTAGGACTGAAAACACCCACTGCAGTGTCTAGAATATCCTTGTTTTAAGATGCACCATGCCCTAAACAAGGAATCCTTTTTTGTATGTTAAAATCTACGAACATTAAAAGAAACACAGACAAGTTGAAGAGCCCTTTCTCATAGCATCCCAAAGCAGAATAAAATTATCTCACCTAAGAAAGCTGACTTCCTTGACTTCTGTGTGATATTGCAGAGGACTTCCTATATTCTTTTATGATCTACTACTGATAATTCAGTATTTTAACTCATTCCAGACTTTGCTCAGCTTGTCTCTGTCACAGGCTTTCAAAAGCACATTAGTAACACCTTGGTGCATCACCTTATGGAAAATGCTTAAAACATAATCTTCTTAATATAGTCATAGCTAGCCTCTTTCTGTGAACATTCTATAAAGACCAAATGTGGTGTTACAGGTGGCAAAATTGGATGAGGGATGCTTAATTTGAATAATATTTCCTTTTATTCTATGCTGGTTTCATGGCAGGGGGGAATCTTTCTCACGTTTGCTCCTGTCTCCCTTTCCATTCAGCCTGTGCCTTGTCAAAGAAAGGCACTGCCTATTTGTTTTTTCTGTCCCCTAAAACAACTACATTAAATTAACCTCAGTTACTAAGTATTACAAAAAAGCCACAGTAACTAATCTTACTAAAGAATAACTTAGTTTGTGGACTCCCTTTACTGTAGAATTTATAGAACAGTCTTCTAATAAACACAGATTTGCCAGGGAATTACTTAGGTTTACTCCATTCTGCTTTAAAGCACGGCACCAGGTTAGTTACCTTACTGCTGTGACACATCTATGAGTAGGTAGTCTAATCAGTATTTCATTCCAGAGGATACCAAACTTTCAGAAGCAAACTGAAATTTATGGCCTCTCTCATTACAAAGTAGCTTGTCTAGCTAGTCCTCTAAACTGAATCCGTCTTCAGTACCAGGGGTGGAGAATTCTACAACTGACTAAAATTGTATAGAAAGTTTAAGTTGACTACCCAGAGAGAAGCTAGGGCACCAAGTATGCAATGCTACGACACTGGTATCTCATGAAGTAAACTAGGAAGTGATGGTGGAAGCAGAAGTTGCAGCCAAATTATATGAACGAAAGGAAAATGATTGTTTATGTGGCTTTTGCACAAGAGGAAGAGGGATGGAGCTGTAGACAAACATGATACTAGCAGGAATATCACATGATCTGAGGCAATATGAAGCTATAAAAAGAGGATGGGATGTTATCTACCTTTCAAAGACCACATCAGCACTATTACTATTATGCTGCTGCTCCCAGGAGACACATTAAAGGGAAACTTTGAAATGTTTCCAGAGTTTGAATGATATTTTATATGCTAATTATCTCGCAGTTCTATGGAATATATCTACTTCAATCTTTTCCTTAAGAATTCATATAAGGCTTATTAATGGAGCTCATCAATACCTGAGCATTCTTACTGAGGATCAGTCTCATGACCACCTAACATAGCATAATGATTAGAGATACTACATTATTTCACTGTGGACCTCCCCAATAGCCATTTTATTTACAAGATCAAAACTTCACCTCTATTAGACAGAAGGATCTACTGAAATCCTGGAATTATTGTTAGTAAATTCTGGTTTCTGCTAGCAAGCATAATATGTTAAAAAATGCCAGGAAAATTACATTCTCCCCTTGCTTTCTCTTGCTTCTTCCCTGTTTCCCTCTGAGTAAAACATAAGACATGCAACTGACTGAATATTGAATGCTGTCAAATACATAAAAACAAAACAAAACAACAGCAAAAAGAGCATCTGAGAGGTGGAAGTGGATGGAAATCCCTATCCTTATTTTTAGGCATGAAAAGAATTTTTAGAAAGTTACTTGTAGAAATCAGAAGCTGCAAAACCTTCAACAGAAAAAAAAAAACAAACACCCCACATTCATGCTGTTATTCCTTTAAATAGCAGCAATGAAACATTTATAAAGATCACTGAAATAAAATTAAGGCTACAGAGCAGCATTTCTCTTGAACTGAAAGAGCAAATTTGAAGGGAGCAGAGATACTGGTACATGAACATTTCCAGAGGCATAGCAAGTAGCTTGAACAGAAAAAGTATTAAAATATTGGGCATAGCAGAAGTTAAAACACATACCAGGAACCAAAGCAGACACATCCACCTCATTATGTATGAACAGTGTGCTCTGAATAAGCCTCACAAACTGATAGCAAAGAAGAAACTGAAAAGATAACAGACCTATTTATAGAATGGCTTTAACATTATGAAGTCATCTCCATGTAATTTTAATCTGATGCCACAAAAAGAGAGGTGTATTCTTCACTTAAATCACTGACAGGATTATCAGTATTATTTTTACATGTATTTTAAACAAAGAAACATTTCTGCAGTATCAGAAAGAAGAAACAGCAGGAGGTAAGGATTTCCATACTTCATTATTTCCACCTATTAAAAAGATTGTCCTTGTAATTAAAAAACAGAAATAGATTTGTAGAAATTCAGAAAGACCAGCAGAAGACCTTTGTGACCTTTGAGAGTTCTTACGTCCTAGACTATAAGAAGATATGTTTGATATCTGGATTTAGTTTAACACTTTGCAGGTCATAAACAGTTGCTCTGCCACTGGAAAAGATTTTTTTGCCAAAACCATTTCTGATATTTAAAAACGCTTGTCTTATGTGTCCAGTGTTGTGAGAATACATTTGTTATAGAATATATGAGGATAAGGAAAAATTCTAACAAAGAAAGGAGTATTTGCTTGTTTGCAGCTTTTCATTCCAAAGACTTCTCCCATTGTTTATTTATTACAGTGCAAACAGAAAAATATTTCCTTTAGCAGTTAATTGTTTATTCACCTACTAAAACTTTCAGGTTTAGTTTGCTCATTCACTGTATTTCTTTTTTATACGGTCATGTTGAAATAGGAAAGAAAAGAAAAAGATATGCATGGATAATTTTTTCTACTAATATCTGCTATGCTCAGTGCATAACAAATGTATGACCTACTCAGGAGCTCACATGTTATGAAAGGATGCCTGCTTGACCTCAGTGAATAAGATGGCAGAATTTAACACAACATGGAACAGACTTGTGCAACGGTGCTGGCTTATTTTTGCACCAAGCACAGTTACAAACTTTTACTCCTATACTTTTAAATGGTTGAAGAATTTTCCTCACTATTCATAAGCTGCTATAGAAAACATGTCATTAAAACATGCCCAGTAAGACATATGGCTGTTTCTGCCATCCACATTGAACACACCTAGCTGTACTATGCCTCAGCTTTCTCCAGCAACACTGCCCTCTTCCCAGCAGGCACACGAGAAGACTGAGATATGAATAAACTGCTACCAGGTAAAGTCATTCTACTGGGTGAAATAATTTATGAGTACTCACTTTATGTATTTGCCATTCCTGACTTCTTCCTCTTCACTCATGCAAAGCTTTTCAAGGTACAGACTTTTTATCTCCTTTTATACACCTAGAGAGCATGCAAACCTATGTAGTTTTATACAAACTAGACAACTGGTCTCTTAGGATTAAATCTAGAAATAAATTTTCTATTTTTTCTATTGCTTTATGAAGCATTACACTCAGTCCTCAAGATACTATTCTATTTATATTTTATCCAGTATAAGGAAATAAAATCAGTAATTTAAATATCAAGCATGTAAATGTTTTTTTTTATAACTGTACTTACAGAAAAAACAGCAGCCACAGTTTCAACAGCACCAGTGCTTAGAGTAACATAGGGGATTGTCTTATGATTGATCCCAGCTTCACTAAAGATGCTGTTTGTGTAGTACCAGATCTGTATCAGAGAGAAGAAAATGAGTTGTTAATCATTATGGCTTGAACTACAATATATTGGTATTCAGTTCAAGTATCTGATCTGCCAGACACCAGACTTGTTAAAACAGTGAACATTCCCGAATGACTGAGAGCTGGGCAAAAGAACACATGAAGGGAAGGTGCAAATTTCAGGTGAATTAGTCTCAACACTGCTGTACTTCTGCTTGCAGACCCAGGCAGAATTATAAGCAGCTTTAACTCGATTTAGCTTGATTCACTTTAGGAGTAAATCAAAGAAATTCACTTTAAGCTTGAACCAGCTGATACAAATAGGCTTTGGGTAGCTGAGTCACACCACTGAAAAAGCTGGTTTGGGTGGCTTTATGGGATACTTCAATGGCATGTAACAACAGGGGAGAAAACAGGAAAGAGATGCTGAAAGGCATTGCAGAAACTACTTCTTTTTGCACAGGAGGTGTGAGCTTTATCTCTCACTGCAGTGTGGACATCGGCAGTCAAGTCATCACCCTAATATGTCTTTATTATCAACAGAAAGAGAAGATACCTCTAGAGTGAGAATTGCTTGATGAAAAATAAAAAGCTGCTTTTAGGATGAAAAGAAACATAGGCTAAAAGGATCTGTCACTAGTGGACAGAAACATAGGGAGCACAGGGTTACTAGCTTACAGGAAGTCATTCACGTTTGGTCAGTAAAAACACATCCAGTGGTGACAATATCCAGACAGAGAATATATGGTGGTAATACTCTAAAATAACAAGTCTGGTAAGTATCAGTGTCCCGTTCACATTACATATATAGTATGAAAACCATATAATATTTATGTTGGACTCCAGGTGACAGCAAAGAACTAGCCAAAGATTTTGTTTGCCAAAGTATTCAGCTAGGAGAGACTGCCTTGAAGAGAGAAAAAATAACTGATTTACTAGAGAAGATGAAAACCAGCTGAAACAACTGATTATTAGAGAAACTAAAGTTCTAAGCCACAGCTGATTATCTGTGGCAACAAAACTGAAAACCCGAGGCAATGATGGCACTAAACATAAAAGTAGCAGTGGTATTTTTTCCCATGTGTTGTCCATGTGACAAGCCTTATGAGGGCAAGCATTACTAAAGAAAAGGGTTGTCTGATGAATGGAAGTGTATTGATTGCATGAGGAAACCCCTGCTGCCTGTCAGCATGTTATGTACATGCTACATCTGTTCACCAAGCTACTGATTCAGGAGCTTTGTAAAACCAAAAGTCATTCTAAATTTCCAACTAGCCCTTCAGCAAAGGTGCCTGTCCCAGTTCAAAGAAGAAAATCCACTCATCTAACATAAAGCAAAAGAAAACAAAATACCAAGGAATAAAGGGTCAGCTGTATCACCTTACACATAAAGATAAGCTGACTGAAGACTTTTATGCCTACTGCTGGCACATCGGCTCTCACCAGAATAGATGCAGGGACAATAAGTGACAGCAGCAAACTTCTCTATATGAAGTAATCTGCTTTCATGTAGCGTGCACTGGTGTTAACTGTGCATTTCATTGGCTTGCCGATACAGAGCTGACTGAAACAAAACCAAGATCAGCTCCAAAGTCCCTCTGAAATATTTATGCCCATTGATAATTTTTTTGGGACCCTGTACAACCTATTCACCCCCTGTACACCTACACAGTATATAAGGAAAGCAAGCTAACACAAAACCAAGATAAAAGTTATTTTTATTTCTCCATACTATAAGATTGAATAATTTATGCAATCAAAGTTAGAAACCATGTAATTTAGGTATTTCATTCTTGATACCAGTTTTGCATAGAAGATAGAGCTTCTAAAAATGATGTCGATATTGCAGACCTTGAAAGAATAAAAGATGCCAAAGAGCCACTTAATCAGACAGCTCCTGAATGCAATTTGCCAAAATGTAACAACTAGAACATAAGATGTTTCACAAGTGGTTTTACAGCATGACTGACCACTGAGAGTAAGAGTGATGATAACACAGCTAGATTAAAAAACTAGCAGAGCAAAGACAGATGAGGTTCACTCACAGTTACTAGCTTCTGTAGCAGCATAAAAATAAATTAGGGTAAAAATTAATATGATGTACACATTTCAAAACAGTAAAAGTGAATATTTTTCAGCCTGTGTATCATTAAACAGGAAATACACTGCTCTAGGATATTACTGAGGCAAACTGACTAGGCTAATGATGACTTCTATTTTCACTTATGTTAATTTTCTAACGTGTTTTTTGAGGTGGAAGATGGATAAATTTTTTATGCATGCTATGTGTCATGGATAAATTTCATCAGATTAAGAGACTAAATTAGATTCATTTATTTATGTCAATTTAGGTCACACTGTCTGGTATGCCATTATAACTGAATGTCTTAATAAGTTCAGGGCTTCACTGTGGAAAATGTACCATATTTAAGCAAACCAAATTTTATTGTAAAGTAAAATCCTTAACAGGAAGCAAGATGTTCTTGTTTCCTGTTCTCAGATACCAGCAGGACGATTACAGAAGTCTGCCAGTTGGTGATTTCCTAAGAGAGTGACCTGAGACTCTCACCTGAAAGAAGTCCAACTTTCCTATATGCCCTCCCCAGATGGTAGTTGTGGAAAAGAGCAGATTGATTAGTGAGACACTACAGACAAAGCAAATGATGGGAGAAATGAGTTAGAAGGAAGTGTTCACAGCCAGTTAAACCTTGTTGATGCTGGCTCACACCCAGCAGGTAATTTCAGAGGCAGTCAGGCAAACCAAGATCTGGGTTCAGCAGCACCTGTCACACCTGTACCTGCCTCTATCTCTGAGCTTCAGGTGACTTGAGAAGCATCAGCCAGGAAAACCATGCAAAAGAAACAAGGAATTGAAACCTGGTCTCTTAATCAAGTGGTCCAGTTATTTCTCTTAAATTCTCTTATAATTTCCTTGGGTTTACTATTAAATATTACTATTAACTATATAATAATCAATTTCAGAACACAATTTTGTGTGAATATTTTTGTGTGTGTGTCTTTAGTGACATTGCGCAGGAGTAGAGTCAAAGTAGTAATAAAAAAAAGGTAAGGCTTGAAACAGCCAACTTAACACACAGGTTTCCTGACAAAGACATCTCTTCTGAGACATATGTTCAGAAAGCAGCCACACAATGGCACTTTAAAAAAATTCTGGCATCTGTTTTAGACTGGACACATTTCACTATCCCCCCACATCCTCACTCCAGCAATGAGAGTGTGGCTTTGGTCTGCCATGGAATAATGGACAATTTCTGTCATCTATCAAATATCCTCAAAGCCATTAAAATCTTATTTTCCCTGAAAAATTAGCTGTGGCCTTTTTTGTCTTTAAAGCAATGTGCTTTATTATGTGAACAGTCTGTTTCTCACAGTAAGTGTCCTTTTGGTTCACCTATGCGTTGATAAGTCTTAGAAAGACTGCATGACAAGATAATTCTATTTCTTTTCTTAAAAAATTATCCATAGTGAGGACAAAATAACCTGTCATTAGCACTGAAATCCTACAATTACAAGTTAACACCACCTATACAAATGTTTTTATAGTTCAGCCCACAGTATGAAAAAATCTTCTAGTTCCATCCTAGTATTTTGTTAGTAAGTTTTAGATAACAGAGTTCTAATTGCATTTAACTTTTAAATGGTCTTGGACAAATTACTCTGTAACTTTGTATTAGGATTTTTAAAGTAATAGAGATACCTGAGATAAGTTTGAACTGGTTGTCTTATATATCAGAAGAATTTACACGTATTATCACTGATTAGCTGGGGGGGGTAAAGGAGGTGGGGAAACAAGCTGAAGTATGCTGTAATGCACAAAGCCACAGAAAGCTCTTTCCAGCAGCAACAGTATTGCCTTTCATATATGTAAGCAATTAATGCCTTTGAACTGTGATAAAACCCTGTTTTGCTTTGTGGTGCTTTATGAGAACATTTGTGTTGTGCAATGTAGAGCATCTAAGCCTGATGTCACAGGCTGCAGGAAAGAACGTTCTGTCTGGATGTAAAGAGAACTCCTTTCACAGTGTAAGGTATGCAAACACATAGCACAGATTGCCCAGGGAGGTTATGGACTCTTCACCCATGGATTTATTGAACTCAATTGTAGAATGCCCTCAGTAGCCGGAACCAGCCCCACAGTCAGTCCTGCCCCTGGCCAGGACTTAGACCAGATGACCTCCAAAGAGCCCTTCCAACCTAAATTGTCCTGTGGCCCTTTCCTAGCTGATGCAACAGGCTCAGACAGATGAAAAAGGAGACTTTGATGTCATCAGACACATTAATGGTCAACAGGACTTTTTGCTATTGACTGTTCTGTGTCTTTTTTCCTCTTTTGCTCCACTTTCTGGCATATTGAAGTGCAGCTTATTATTCCAATGTAAGAAACAACAAAAATCAAACACCCTGTAAAACATCTTAAAATCACTTCCAGGAACTTCCACTGACTTCTTTAAGTATAGAACTGAGTTAATTTAAGCAGAAATGTCCACTGAAAAGACCAAGTTTACCTAACATGGACAAACATGGGGGATATCAGACCAGATCTTAACTGACCAGAAGAAACAAAGAATCAGGGTATCAGAAGCAGAAGCCGCACACTCTATCATTGCTGATCTGTGCTACCTTTTTATGTCTTCCTTCAAAGTTACCACAACATGGTTTCTCTCCCCCTCTTTTTTTTTTGTTTAAGAAACCCCAACAAGCAATACAGAACTTTGTGGACCTTCCCACAACTGGGTAACAAAATCACTACTAACAAAAAACAGCCAAAAATGAAAGTCATAGAGATTGCTGAATGGTACAGCATGAACCTTGTATTAACAAGAAAGAAGCACCCTGGGAGATGTCATGGCCTGAAGAAGAGCACTTACAGCATTTAGCCCACAGAGCTGGTAACAGGCCATGGTGATGACCACGGTAATGACCTGCCATCGTATCGCACGTGTTCTCAGGAGCTGAAGAACCGACACTAACTTGGTGTTTCTTTGGACTCGAGACTCTGCCAAAACTTCCTCTACTTCATGAGACACGTCTTCTTTCCCAAGGAAGGTCTGAAATGCTATAAAGAGAGGACATGTATTTTAGGCCATATGTTTGTCACCATGTGCATTTGTAATAGACTTGTTTCATAGGAATGGAAACCTGTGACAAAAGTAGGAGACACGCATGGGCTACAACTTAAATATTCTTCTGTCAACAGTATCATTCTGCTCTGAATATGATCTGGCTCATCTGTATAATTGGACTCAGATACCGCAACAAGAATATAAATTATTTGGCACCCTATCAGACTCCCTTACATTATTTCATATATAATATAGTTGAAGTGCAGAGTCAAAACCATGTCAATCTGAAAAAAGAGTTTAATAGTAAAGCAGTTGTGAACATTATTTGACTTGGCTACTTCTGCAGCCTAATAACATAGCAGACCCCATTGCTGGAGATAGATAGCATAAAGAAGTAATAAGATATAAAAACATATGTAAGTCTGGTAAATCAAGGAAGACATTTGGAACAAATAGCTGTTACTCTTCATACTACCTGTTGTTTTTACTAGCATATAGTCAAGAATTCAATTTGTCAAGATTATTAATATTAAAATGAATTACCCAGAGAGTTCAAGACTTTATCAATGCTGGAGACACAGAAGTGAATGTAGCTGGCAAATGCAAGCAAATAAACCTTGTCTCCTCAGAAAAACATAACATTTAATGTTATAGTATTGTGCATTGAGGAATTCCTGTGATATCCTGCCCCTGGGAATAATAAAAGCTTTCCATCTCGCACCTCATCTAAGAGGTACTACAAACAGATATCTCCTAATGGAGGTGGTGTATCCTCACCAACCTTATTTTACAGGTACTGTATATGCTGATGATACCTTCATCACAATCTTATGAACATACGTACCCCCAGGGGTTGGCTTTTTAAGAGATGTTGAAAATGCTCATCATCTTGGAACGACTGCAGAGAAACAATTGCATTACACATATCCCTGAAACAAGGCTTTGTGACCCAGTAGGATGCTAAGTCTAAAAACAATCCTTTACACAACAGGTCACTAAAAATTGTTATTTTTATTAAGTGAATAAGTTAATTTAGTTCTCCTTAAAGCCAAATATTTTTTTTCCTCTTATCCATAGCTTTGCCTACAAATAAATGACCTTCTAATTTTTCAGTATGCATATTTTACAGTATACATTCTTCTGGGTCCCAAAAAGGACTTGGATGGTCAACAAAGCCAGTAACACTGATTAGCCATGGATAAAATGATCGTACACCAGTTAGGCGTCAGAGACACAAAATTTTAACTTTACCCAGTAGGTGAAAAGGCCAAGTAGAAGCATTTGAATGCTGTGAGGGATAGGACATGCAAATTAACCTGCTGTGTCAGAGTATTCATCTCCATCCCTTTGGTGAATGTTCAATGCTGCACACTCTGCCTGGCTCCCAGTCTGGCGGCACATGGAAAAACCTCAGGGTTTGGGCCAAGATTTTCAGAGGCAGTTAGCATTTCTACTGCATTTTAATGGGCCCAACATGACTCTACTTAACAAGAAGGATGATTTTCTTAAGGGATGAACACTGACCACCTCTGGGTGTTGAGCCAATTCATAACAATTTATTCTGATACCCAGTTTCTCTCTTGGGAGAGGAGAGGTCAGAATGTTTAAATCTCTCAGAAACAGCATGAGATTTATCTTTTCATGCAGGCTTACAGTCAGAAATGAGTTAACTAATTCAGACCTCAGAACCGAGAATTTAAATTGCTGAGTTCCACCCCTGGGCCACTGCTCATTTATTGTTAAATGACATGCTAAACACTCATTAAAATGAGTGTGATGTGTTTAAAGAAACTGATGAGAAATGTAAAATTAGAATAATGTGTGCCTTTGTTATTTTAAAGTCAATGTCTCATGCTTAAGTTACGCTTTACTCAGTATTATTATATCATTGATAAAGAGAAGTTCAGATAAAGATGAGATATTTCTATCACCATAGTCATCTTAGAAAAGATTCTCTTGCATTTTTAAGCATCTGATATATCAGCATAAATTAGGTCAGGGCACAATTTTCTCTATTTTGCCTGTCCTTAGATTCCTCAGCATTACTTTAGGCACACAGGTAAAAAAATATAGGTGCAGTCAAGTAAAAAGAAAGCAGTCTGTCTTTATTACACAAGGGAGAGTGCTGTATTTTTAGAGGGAGCAGGAAGTAAAATACTGCAATTACCAAAATTACCAAGTATAAGGCAAAAGAAAAAAAAAACTATAGACACCTGCTTTATTTTTCTACCCACCCTGGTATTAGGACCAGAGACGTAAATGCCACTAGAAAACTTTGATGAACACTTAAAATTACCAAGTCAAGAAATGCTAAGAAAATGCTACTTTATGCATGCATAGTTTGAGTAGACAGCACTCAGTCTTCTTGGAAAAACACATTTCCCTGCTACTCAACACATCTTCAATTTTCTTCCATTAACAGTTTTTCAGTACAGTAAGAATCACAATTTTATGCATAATTAATGTTGAAATAAATTCTGTATTAGCAGGGAGATGGAAAAATTCAAAGGTCTTTCAATGTGTGATGTTCTATTCTATTCATTTTATGTTTTAAACCCCGGCATTACTGGCATTGAGAAGCCCAGCAGTTGTTCCTCTCCTTGATACAATGACTCGGTTCCCTCCATGGCTGGCTGTTTCTCTCTACAGGGGAGTCTTATTTTCATGTCATGCTCAAAACCATCTAAGGAGTTAAAGTTCCAGCAATTTTTAGGCCTTTCCCAGATTTCTTTTTCATTCTCTTGGATCAGAGGTCCTAGATGCTCAGCTTGCAAATGTCAGGATATTGCCTTTATAAATGGCAGAAGTGGTGGATGGTCCCAGTCAAGGGGAAAGGAGCTACAAACCTCTTCAGTTTACACCACCAGTTTTTATTAATTTCAGCTAACTAAAGGCGAAATGCCTGAAACTGGTTCAAAGGTCTGGACAAAATCAGTTGGTACTGTCTTTAAAACCAAACAGGCTTTTAAATTAACAAAGATGGACATCCAAGAACTCAACTCCATGGGGAATTTCTAATTCTTTTTCCACTGTAGTACCTTCAGGACTGTGCAAAGAATTTGGCTGTTATTGTAAAGACTGAATTGACTGTAAACTTTGAGAAGACCTTTTAAAGGATCAAAATGTATTGTGTGGCTTACAAAATAGAGCCAGCCCAAGGCAAGAGGAAGAAAAATAGAGAAGTTGTCACAGGTAGCAGCTTGGGCTTATGCCTTTAAAAACAAAATTGAATGAAAAACCTCATGACTTCATTTTATTGATGATTAAGTATATTAAGCCCAGGGTCTTTTAACACAAAGCTTTGCCTAAGATCTTCTTAAAGAGCATCTTCTTTGGCCACAGTTATTCTGGCCAGTATTCTGGAGGCAGAAAACTGGGGTAGAATGGACCCAGTCAGGTAACTCTTACTGATGCTAGCTGCTGTTGCTGAACAATTGTAGACATAAGAGGTGCCCTGCTGTTTGCCTCAGGACTTGCAAGAAGTTAACCCAACTTCAATGCTTTTGAATTGGATATGTAGTAATTTCCCTGTAGTAACTTCATGTCAACACAAAAATATTTGGCAAAATGAAAAACAGTTATTTTCATATACCACTAATTTTATTAGAACACTGAATAGTCAGAAGAATAATTTAGGTGTACCTTGCTAGAAGATGTTTGAATAGCTATTTAAATTTATCAAAATATTAACTACTAACATGTAGCACAGCAAAATTTAAGAATAAATCTCAAATTTGCTATCCAATTCAGTAAATATAACTGCAAGCAAAAGGCTTTAGGCTTTTCTCATGTGTCAGCTCCTTCTCTTTCCAAGTAAAGGAACACACAGACTTTTGATGAGTTATGATCTAGTTTGGGGTTACATCTTTACCTGTTCTCATGTCTGGCTTCACAGACCATCAATACAAAATAGGCCTGTTCAGGTTCACTTGAAACTAGCCAAGATGTACAACTAAAACAAAATATCCACGTGGCACCCTAAAATATCACAAGAATTGCTAAATCAAGTTATGTCAAAGGTCCAGTGAACACAGCCTCCTTTGTAAAAGACAGGAGCTTTAACAAAAGTTTAAAAACAAAACAGACACACCATGATCACTTAAGCTTTTGGCAGTCAGCAACCATCTGAGATGGAGCCTCTACCATAAGCCAGCAAGTGTAGTAGTTTTGGCTATATTCCTTTCCAATTAGCATAGCTTAAGATGACTGAAAACATACAAAAAAGCACACAGATAAGCAAAAAATAAATCATATATGTCCTTGTTGTAATTTAAATCACTGGATTTGCAGTAATTTCTTCCTGCTGCAACTTTGTTTTTAACATCTCTCTGGTTTTAATGTGTGAGGGCCATGAAGGGCTTTTGCAAAAGCAGATAGCTGATTTTTTCACAATCGGGAATGACCTCACTTTTTTATCACGTGAAAAGGTATAAACTCTAAGCCACCTTTCTAAGAATTCAAATCTACTGTTTTCATTATACCTCTTGTAATGCTCCTTCCATCACCATGGGAGTTCTATTGCGTGACTGAGCACATTGGATGAGCAGATACTGTATGTCACCAGCAGATGTTACTGTGACATTTTATCCAAGTTATTTGACCCTTAGGACATCACAATATTCTTGCTCTCTGGCAAGCTGGGATGCCCCCTGAATTCCATCACTGATTTACATGAACTGCTACTGTAGCTGCATTAAAAATGCAGGTTTCCTCCTTGTAACAGTATTCTTTAAGGGACACATCAACTCTCCAGCTGAAAGTGTTTATAACCAATGTTGCTAGTCTTAAAAGTGTTCTGCCTTATCCTGCTACTGTTACTGTTTTCATTTATACTGCAGCATTGCCACAGTCACAGATCGGGGGTCCACTTAGCACGCAACTAAGACACCTAATATCAAATCCCTGCTCTAGAGCTTGGATGGCAATGTGCAGGATGCAATTACAGCAGCAGGTTTTTTTTTTTTTCTTCCTGTTTCTACCCCTGTTACTCTTCATTCCCACTGCTCTCTAACAGCTGAATAATGATTTCCTTTCAAAGTCCTCCTCAACCATTTAAATACCCATTTCTTCTCTGCTGTCTGATAAGCATTATTGGAGAAGGATCACACCAGTTAAATGCTAGGCATTTGTTTCCCTTCTGTTCTCATCAAGACAGGAGAATGCTACTTGATTGGCCTTGGAGGGGAGCTGGGTTGACTCTACCCTCTCTCCGTTACCAGACCTTTAGCTCTTTAAGCAAAGCAGATTTAGAAATAGTGCTGTTGGTGCAGTCAACTATTCTCACCCCACAACACGTAAATCAGTTCTCCCACATTCAGCAATGAGATGGGAATATGAGACATAGTTCCAGTTGCTGCCAGGCAGGAAGTCAGGCTGGTGACCTCCATCAAGACAAGCAGAACTCAGCTGTGAGCATTGCTTTTGGCAGCCATGGTGTCCATGCAGCTGATTAGCCAGACATTGGCTCAGCCACCCACAGTGTGTACTGTTTACACTGCTAAAAAGGGGAAAGTAGGGAACCATGTAGATACCCATTAATGGACATCAGGAGACATCACTCATCTGAGGCCTCATGGAGTAGCTTCTCACGTGGTGGCGTGGCTTACATTTGCACATGATGCTTGCCTTCTCTAACCTTATCTCTTCTCTTTTTTCACCACTTACACAATGCATTTCATTCCTTCTCCCACTTTCAGCCACTTAAAGACATCTTGCTTTTTTACACCTCTGCCAAAATATCATAAGATCATTGAATGGTTTGGGTTGGAAAGGACCTTTAAGATCATTTAGTTCCACCCCCAGTGCCATGAGCAGGGACACCTTCCACTAGAAAATGAGAATGAGGCCACTTGTATTTTAGTAGTTATATTCTGGTTATCTGCTGAGGACAGAAGAAAGAGAGAAGATAAATGCACAAGCAGAACTTTGTGGACACTCAATGACCTACATTATCCCACTGGATTTTCATTGTTTTAAAACATTAATTAGGAAGATAAAGTTGTCATCTCAATTTTAGAAGCTTTCATGTACATTTTAGAGTATTTCATAAAGACTGAGGTATCCATCTGCCTTACATACAACAGACCTTTTACAAATAACAGTTTTATGTTTCACCAATAAGATGTAATCCACAGTGAAATGTATATTTGCATTAATAGCTTTCATCCATTAGTGGAAAAAGATGGATTTAGCCAGAAGAGGCACTTGCACATTTCTGACATTAATTTTCAGATTTAACTGAAGAGGCAAATAATTCAAAAACATTACTATAGTCATCATTAAATTGGAGAATACCACACTATCATTATATGGCTTACAAGCAGTGGAGTTTTTAATAACCTACAAACTCTTCTGGTCTCCCTTATACTAAGGCTTTTTCTCCCCTATTTCTGTTGATGATGTTAACATCCAGATGATTTTTCGTGGTTGTTGATTCCCTGTTATTTATCCTCCTATTCAGGGAATTCCCCTCCCAACCTGCTTTCATTATTCCATTGCATTATTCCAGATACCCAAAATTTTTCTTGTGCCTAATCTGGATTTTTCCATGTGCCCTGGGATGGGGAGGAGGGCTCCAAACTCCCCAAGCTGGTCTAACATCACAGGTGTTCTCTGTCCTGTCATTCTATAAATCAACAAACTCCTTCCCTAGCTATCCACATGCTGTCCAAAGATCTAAAGATGCTGTCACTTTCAAATCTGCATTAGGAGAGGGGTGATTTGAAAAGCTGTGCAATGGTAAGGCAGTTGCCTGTGTTCCTAATGTGCTTTATAAGAAGGCATCTAGATACTTTATAACACAGAAGTATAAGATGATATGATTTATGCTGCCTTACAGGTGGATTTAATGAATTCCAAAGTGATATCTAAGAATCATTCTTACCTGTTTGGCAGCTGACATCCTACAGGCTGCCTTGCCTGTGCAACAAGGTGACCAGCTCTGAAAGCATGGCAGCCTGATAGTAAAGGCACAGAAATTCAAGGGGATGTATACACTTCACTCTCCTATGGTCCTTTGCAAACCTCTGCCTAGAAATATGGATCCCTACCTGTTTTGAAAGCTCTAAAGATGACACTCAAAATGAGTTTCATTCTGTACTACAACATATCTCAGTATTGATATTTTGTTTTAGAATTAATCAGGTCAAAAAGCTTCTACTAATAAGCAGTTACTTTCTTTATTTTTTTCTTATACCAGCCTCTTCTTTTTTAATAAAAATATCTAAATTTGTAGGACTTAAGGTGGCTTATGAAAGCCACCTTCTCATAATCAGCAAGGGAACTGCTAAAGCTTATTTCCCTTCAACTATTAAATAAGGTGTGGATAACTTTTTTCTCCTGACATCTTTTACTCCAAAACCCACCTGCAATGTTTCTAGATTAGATTTCAAATCATTTTCAGAATACTTCCCAGACTGCAGCTGGCCCACTACCAGCAACAGTAAATGCTGAGAATTTCAAGGCAGGTGGTGTTACTTTATTGTCAATTTTTTATAATCTTTAAACTCTGTCTATCAGAGGTCCAGCTTCGTTGTCAGTGCTGAGGTTTCCAGCTACTAAGGCAGGACTTCCAACAGATCCCTACCACAAGTGTGACATTATGCAATAGCAATGTAGATGTGGAACCTTTGCCAGCCAAAGCTCTGGAAATATATCTACAATTTTATCAGGTAGATATGAGCCTGTTGCAACTTGGCATCCAAGGCATGAAAGAATCGCAGCCCAGCTGCAGTGCTGCAAGATTACTACTACTGTTGGGTAGTAGCAGAGTCAGCCCCAGGCTGCTCACTGCTGTGTCTCTGCTGGTGCTCTGCCCATGGCTGGCAGGCAAACCCTTTCTTTCATGGTCCCTGGAAAAGCTGTTCTCCGCCTCACCAAATCTCTGCTGACTCTGTAAAACTGAAGAGTTCTCCCCAAAGCCTTGTTGCTTTTGTGTGTCTTTATTAACACTGAACTGTATCTCTAAATGCCTGCGGCGCCAGCATTTACAGAATTCTTCATTCAACACCAAACCAGAGTTCCCAAACATGGGAGTCTTTTCCTTAATGTGCCATTTCTATTCCAGAGGGCTCATCAGATCACAAAAGGCCAGTTTTTCATTTCATAGTAGAAGAAACAGGATAGAGTGATTTGCATTAATTTCATTATAAAAGAGCGTTAACTATAAGTTGCAGGAACTGATTCACATTTTGCAAGTAATTCTGCAGTCAGCTAGCTGGTGACTGAAAATGTAGGGGTTATATTTAAATGAAGTTTTTAAGAGCAATTTTTAAAGCACAGTTATGTTCTGCAGACATTTTTGTACTGCACTAAGACTCCTTCCTTCTTTGTACACTGCTATTTTTAATGTGTCCCTATAATAAGCAAAAGCAAAGTTTCAACATTTTCTCAGCCTAACAGGGTGATATATTAGAACTTACAACTGACTGTAGTAATTTTAGTGCGGCAGAGCATACAGCAGCTGTGCTCACACAAGCAAACTCTTTTATACATACAACTTAAAGAACAAAATATTCTGGTCTGTGTCTATGAAACTGAAGCAAGCTATATGGAAGCACTTGAAATTTTCAGTTATATAGGTGTATGAGGTTTTTATTAGATCTACAAAAGGTTATAGAGTTAGAGAAGAACAGGATCAAGCACAGCGACTACTGAAAAAAACCCCAGCAATAGAACCAGTACTTTTGCTAGCCAAACTGAAAAGACTGTAGATAAGGGAGAGTCATGAAGGCAGAAATCACTTGTCACTCCCAAATGAACCCTGCATGCTGTGGCTTATGCACAACAGCAAGATGATTTGGTTAGGTTTGTATCACCACACACAGTGCTATATAGGTTAGTTCATTGTGGAATTTTATTTATAAAAAATCCAAAGCAACAATATTTACAGATGCAAACAAAAAATGTGAGGGAAAGAAAATTGTCAAGAAAATCCCTGTCACTGGAATATTCTGCTTTTACTGTGCTATCAGAATTACTTCCTAGCCTGCATCCTACAATAATAACCTTTAACTACAAGAAAGTAACACATCATACCTCTTTCTGCCTTGCTTGTGTTATGTTTTTCAAGTAGGAGGTAACGAGGACTTTCAGGAAGAAAAGGCAGAATCACGACTTGTATCAGTGAAGGAATAATAATTGCTCCAAATAAATAAGGCCACCGAGATTCCTGCAAACAGAGGTAAACATACGTCAGTAATACTATCCCATAGTGATACTAGGCAGAAAAAGAGCTTTGATGGGAAGCACTGTAACTTTTCAACATTCAACATGTGTCAGTGAGTAGTGTTGTCTCCTGCCTGAGCTAAGTAAGCAGTTTGGACACTTCCCCCTCAGATCAGCTTACTCAAAGGCCAAGGAAGACAGAATTCAAGCCATCAATTGAGTGAGAATGAAAAGAGAGGCACAGGGAAGCTAGGAAACAGCAATGCATAGCATATTTTTCCTTTCCTTCACCATCAACAACTAAACATGCAAAAATGTCATATATATATATTCAAATATATATTCTACAAATCATTCCCGCTTTAAGAACCAGTACAACATTCTTTTCATAAAGTTACGTATACCTTGTTGCTGTCTCTTAGTCTAATCTAATTGATCTAAAATATATATATACACACACACACGTACAATGATTGCGCTAACTGTATTATAGTCATAGTATGGGTAAAACCCCACTAACACTTCAGCTAAGCTAGAATTTAGCATTTTTGTGCTTCTTGGTGTAATGCAGGTAGTGACTCTTCAGCAATTCACGGGTGCTGGGAATGAATGAAGTTGGGCTGAGGTCTCTCTTCTACTTGGCAAAACACATTTGCCTTACAGGTACAACTAACACATAGTTGGGCAGTTTTAATTTCCGTTCAGAAAAGAAGGTGTAAGAAGACATATACAGTTCAACACAACTAAAGTGAAAGACAGCTATATAATTTAACTAGAAAAAAGATATCTGGCTAACTGATGCAAGGTTATCTTTATGGATGCTTTCTCTTGCAGTCAATGATTCCACCCCTTAAGATACCTTCCATGTTAATTTAAGTGTATTTAAGTTTCACCTATCCTTTTGTCCCAAATCACAGGACCTTATGTCCTTTGGTTTTTTGGTAGAGTAACTAAGAATTATGCATTATAATGTTTCCTATTCTGAATTACCTAATCTAGCTCAGATGTTCAAATGAAACTCTAACAACCCTCTTCCCACGTCCATGAAAGAGAAAGTGATTTTTATAATTGCTTTGCAAGTAATCTGCTGGAAGACTTCAGCAAGGACCTGAAACACAAGAGCCATCTACAGCGTCCCAACCAATGCAAAGCCCCAGTGACTCATCTTTGGCAAGAGCTACAGCTGAACCCAGGACACCTCCACAGAGAACCCAGGCAGTTTTAGCCTTCCAGAGCCCCACTGCTGTGCAGGTGAAGAGCGTGATGCACTGCACTATCCAGCACTAGTTAAACAAATCTACTCAACTGCTAGCAGATTTCACATGCAACTTGACTTTGATAATTTTCTTTGAAATCAACAGAAGTTGTTGACATCCTCAAATGCATTCATTATTTAAAACCAGCTATAGAGAGTGACCTGAGCAAAGCTCTTTCAGGGAAAGGCTGGGAAATGCAGTACAAAATTTATCTAGCTCTCTGGGCTTACTCTCAAGAAAGGGTACTTTCAAGTAGCTGAAGGAGAAAGGTGCCAGCAGTATTATTTTCTCCTGCAAAATGGCCCTCAATCTGTCTGTGTTCTTAAGATAGCTTCTGTTCCAATTGAATGCCAAGATGAAATTTTTTTGACGTATTCTCCAAGTTCAGCATTCATCTATTTAATTCAATGCTTTCTAATCTGAGACTTGGTTCTTAATTGAAAAGCCTGCTGAGACTTCAGTAGACCTACAGTTCAGGCATCATGTCTAGCACATTTTCAAAAGCTTGGCTAGATCAAAGGCAGACTGCACTGTATCCTGGCTGATTGAGCTCTGAGAGGCACGGGGGTTTGGATCCCATCCCTCAGTCATTCATCTATCCATTCAAATTCCATATTTCCCTAAACAGATATATTTCAATATAACTTTTTACAGTTGAATCAAAGGTCAAAAGCCCCCAAGCAATTTTCCATTGATAGTTTTTATTTTACATTCTCCCACTTCAGCAATGTCTAAACCAACATGTACTGCATCGTATGGGATGCAATCCAAGCCCCAAAGCTGAACCAGGGTCTGAGATAACTGAATAACTCCCAGAGGGAATATGAGGGGTATCTCCTAATCAAATTTTTCACTTGCTCTTTAAATGTCAGAGAGGTTTTGCATCAAAATCTCCTGGGATAAGAAAACAACCTGAGAAAGGGATTCTTTCAAACAATTTCAAGATCAAGCTTATCAGTCTTCCTAAGAGCCCCCATTAATTTCAAGATATTATTTCTTCACTCCCTTTTTTTTTAATGCAGTTGACTGGAGAACTTCACCTAATGAAAGAGAATCACAAGTGGTTAACAATCTGTTTATAAACTAATCAACCTGAATCTTCTTTTGAAAACTAGAAAATTAACCTGAGGTTAAGACTTCAAGAGCAGTTAATAATCACATAAAAACGTACGTATCTGTAAAGTGTAAGAAAACAGGCAGTATAACTCATCAGTTTCATTCTATCTCTGTCTGGAATAATTTCATAGAATATAAACACTCTTCTTATGTACCATATAAAAAAGTTTATAGGACATTAGAACTTTTTACAATATCTCTAGGTAAAAATCTTACGCTTGATTAGCACATCATATTTTCTGTAGGCTTTTTCCCACAGTGTCGGGGACATTTATTAAAGGAAGGAAAAAAAGATGTTCCTCTGTATATTGCTATTATTGATATTCTGCTAACGTATGGAGACTTACTTGGAATAAGCTTACACCCCTATTAACGTCTCCCATAGTGTATGGTTTTTCAGGCAGTCACATTTCTCTCAATTCTTCTGAAAGTGTCATTTTGAAGAAGCTGCGAATGAGACCGACCTTCTGAACTCACCTTTTGTAATAAAGAACAGCCCCTAACAGTATAATAAAAAGCCCTCTCTTTTCAGCACGTAAGACACCAAGTTTCCTTTATTTCCTCCATGAAGGATTTCTGTTTTACCTTTTACTGTGCTAACTTTCAAACCTTAAGGCTCATAAATATGAGCCTACTTTCTATTGCTGGAATGAATTGATCAGAAAATCACTGAATGGAAACTTCTCCATCCATTTCAAAAGTTTTTGGGTGATGTCTATCCAACACTATAGAATATGTGTTCTGTTTGCTTTTCTCTTAATTTACATTAGCCATGTTCAAATTATTCATTTCACCACAGAAAAGAACTAGGAGATTTAAAATATCTATAAAAAATTATGAAAATCAAGCTGAAATAGACCTTAAAGAGAATTAAAAGAAGCAGGAAAAAGGAGGGGGTTTAACCTCTTTAAGAAAGAATAGGACAGGATACAAACTGGCATAATTCTCAGAAGCAATAATAAGGCAAGGGCAAAAGACAGCGTAGGTGTGACTTAGAAGACACATTAACACTTTGCCTGTTGTCAGCAGTAAGAAGCAGCACACAGGCACTGCTGAGAGAAATGAAAACAACCACATCCCATTTTATTTCAGGAAAAACTTAAAAGAGCATTAAATATTTTAATTACAGGGGACCTGATTCATCCCCTGCTTAGAATCGATACAAATAGCATGTCAAGATGGTAACATTTTAATTTTAAACTGTCACATTATGGATATTTGCTTAGACTGGAGTATGAAAAACTGGGCTTTGATTTATTTACAAAAGACACTTAAATAGTAGAGAGAGTTTGACAACCACAGACTCATTCATTCAAAGGTTGACATAATAAAGTGCAAAGCTGAAGAAATACAAGGAAGAGGGGGAGGGAAGGAAATGAATAAAGAATGACATGGATTTATGAACTGCAAAAGAGATGGGATTAACCTATACCAGAATGCAGCAAAGCAAATGTTACCATGTCAGAGAATCATTAGTTAAAATGCAGAAAATAAAACTTACTGTAACAATTAAAGGGTGGAAAAGAAACTGGCATGGGTAAATGTCAACAGGCACCTCTGTCAGCTGAACTATCGGTCCTTATGAAGTTCAATGACCTATTTAAACACCAGTTACTTTTAATATTTTCACTAATTTGATGAAATTTGAATACACTTTCAACACAGAAAAGGCTAAGAATATACACATAGATATAAACTTTTTAAAATTGAGAACTGAATCATTGACAGGGTCACACAACAGAGGTGGGAAGAAGGGCTGCACTGCCCTGCATGTGGGAAGTCATTTTTTGAAAGACCTAGTGAGGCCAATGAAGTATTCAAGATATATGACGGGATCAAAAAGACTAAGTAAGGAAACACATGACTGCCACAGGCTCTACTCACTTTCTCAGTAATTGCACTTATTTAGTAAAAAGCATAACCTGGACATTCCCCATCCCCAAATGAGCATCAACCACTACAGCACTGTCAGGCTCCTTGCTTGCCCTTTGCCCCAAGTTTGGTTTTCTGTGCTGTGGAGATCCTCACATTCAGCTGAGCATCCCTGACCCCAGCTGCCCCAGGGCACTTGTCCCACATCCCTGTCTCCCCTCCATTCTACAACCACAGGGAAATTACCGCACCACAAATACAAGACCTGAACACCTCCTTGTAGGCAGCAGTCTGCACAGGGCATAGGTAGCACAGGTCAATGCCCAGAGGGCTCCAGCCTTGCTCTGCATCCCAGTGTAACAGCAATGTCACCTCACATAGCTATCGAGGGCTTGGTTAGCTTTACTGCTTGAAATATGCAAGACACTGCAGCAAAACGAATACCCACTCTCCCTTTTTCACATTCATTGCTCAGGGTGAACTGTGACATCTCTCAGTGAGCAGGTCTATTTACCAGTCACTGTTAAATAGTCACTATTTATACATTAATTCTGTAATTAATTCCTTGGGGATGGAGGTGTGTGATGGGTTTATGACAGCGTGGAACACCTTACAAACAGCAACGATTCTTTTGTATAATACCTCTCTCATGTAAAATGGCATATTTTACCCGTTTTATATGTGGGGTGAGCGTGCAATACAAGATAGTCAGAATGTCCAAGAACTAGTGATTTGGCAGTGTCTTCTTTTTCATGTTCCT